TCTTGTGTCTGTCCTGGGAGATAATTGAAATACTCTCCAGGATAGAAGACTCTGAAACTGGTTTGGGCCAGAAAGCCATGCTTCATTTAGTCACAAAGGACTTTTTACTAACTTTTGAACCCCTGGTCTGATTCATGCCATTTTTAATATGTTGTTCCCCTGAATGGATTGATTGTGAATATGTAATTTTATGTGAATGTGATGTATGGTTTTAGAGTTATGAAAGTTGGATAGAAAGTATGTTTTAACTGTATGTGTAATTGAGTTTCCTCTCAGGATAAGGGGAGGGAATATGTGGGATGTAACTGTGATGTGATTGGTTGTTTTATACCTCCCTGTGGGCGGTCCTGTATTTGTAAGACTGTAATAAAAACCAGGCTGGGTGTGCCAGCACCTCAGACCACTGCTTGACCCTCAACACGGAGCCTTGTCTCGTTCTTGGGGGGATTCACTGTATGCTGTTAGAGACTGATTGCCAGGAGTGTAAGCTGTTCGTCTGCTTTTCCTGTTCGTCTGCTAGCAGCTATTTGGGAGGTTCCTGTTCGGGAGTTGGAGTGCTATTTTGTATCCAGTTCGGGAGTTGGGTGTTCTGCAGTAGCTGTGCCTGTATCTCTGGAAAGGGGGCCGATTGCCTAAACGGTTTTTACCCCTTGTGCGCAAAACGGTCCGTTACAGTGGCCATAAATAAAAATGGGCGGGGAGACCTAATGTCCTCACCCCCGGCACCCACCCCTGAGCAGTGGGTGGGGGCCATAAATAAAAATAGGAGGGGGGACCTAATGTCCTCCCCCCGGCCCCCACCCCTGCGCAGTGGGTGGAGGCCCTAAATAACAATAAGGGGGGGACCTAATGTCCTCCCCCCGGCCCCCACTCCTAAGCGGTGGGTGGGGGCCATAAATATAAATTGGGGGGAACCTAATGTCCTCACCCATGACCCCCACCCCTGCGCAGCGGGTGGGGGCCCTAAATAACAATAAGGAGGGGACCTACTGTCCTCCCCCCGGCCCCCACCTGTGAGCGGCGGGTGGGGGCCTTAAATAAAAATTGGCGGGGAGACCTAATGTCCTCCCCCCGGCCCCCACCCCTGAGCGGTGAGTGGGGGCCATAAATAAAAATTGGGGGGGGGGGGCGACGAACTAATGTCCTCCACCTGGTGCCCAACCCTGACCGGTGGGTGGGGGCCATAAATAGAAATTGGGGGGAACCTAATGTCCTCCCAGCCCCCACCCCTGTGCAGCGGGTGGAGGCCCTAAATAACAAAAAGGGGGAGGACCTACTGTCCTCCCCCCCGCCCCCCACCCCTGAGCGGTGTGTGGAGGCCATAAATAAAAATTGGGGGGGACCTAATGTCCTCCCCCCGGCCCCCACCCCTGAGCGGTAGGTGGGGGCCATAAATCATAATCCCCCCAGGTGACTAGGGGTCCCCAAACCCCTAGTCACCCCCATCCCACCGACCTACCCCACTCACCCTAAAAATAATGAGGGGGGGACCAATGACACAGAGCACTCTGACTGACTGGATTTCAAGGTAACCAATCAGAGTGCTCTGTCATTTTACACAGCGTGGGAATTTTTTTTGGAATTTTCCCACGCTGTGTAACTTGACTCATAACACTCTGATTGGTTACTTAATCCACCAATCAGAGTGCTCTGTGTCATTTAACACAGTGTGGGAAAATGCCAAAGAACTTTCCCACGCTGTGTAAAATGGCACAAAGCACTCTGATTAGTGGATTTCAAGCCAACCATTCAGAGTGCTGTGACAGGTAAATGTAGAGACTTACCTGTCAGTCTCTTCATTTACCTGTCAGAGCACTCTGATTAGATGGCTTAAACCAACCAATCAGAGTGCTCTGAGCCTAATTGCAGGGCGGGGAAGGCTTTATAAGACTTCCCCCTCCCTGCAGACCTCAGTCTGCGCGGAGCCCTCCATGGAAGAAGGATTATTTTTTGGCGCTCGCTCGCTTTTTTTTTTAAAGTGCATCAGTTATTCTGGATTTTTATTTGGTCTTTTTTGGGGCTGAAAAAATAAGATTTTTAGAAGAAAGAAGACGTCAAATGGTAAGTGTTACAGATCCATCTGTATAGACTAAGATTGCTGGATTCGTCTGTTTTGCCTTTTTCACGAAATTACCCGTTCGTATGCCTTTGTTCAAGTGAATTGACTTTTCTGCCGAACAAAACTGCCGAACAGATGGCCACCTAGAAGAGAAGTGTACTGCTGGTTAACCTATTGATCCCAATTATAACGCTGCGGTTAACCACAGACACTTCTCAATTAAAACTGAATACAGGGTGGTCGTCGTTCGAATGTCGACCACGAGGCGGCGGCCATTTCATACCATGCGAAAGACCAGCGGTGTTCGGCATGGATTTCACGGAACTGAAAACAGACACTTTTTCAACCGAACACCGCTGAAGCCGTCGACCTCCCTTCTCAATCGACAGAAGTGTGCGAACACCGGCCGTTTGGGAGTCAATCGCATACCGAAGAACTGTAATAGACTTTGACTCCATGGCGATTGAACTATGCATATGGGATCTGAGCGCTATTCGCCAATAATATGCACTCAGATCCAGGCTATCTGGGGATATGTGATTCGAATGGATAGTATTCGACAAATGTAAAGTTATCTATTTTTATGTGTTTTTATGTGTTGAATTTAAAATGGCGATTTGCCTTTGTCCTGGAGATAATTGAATTACTTCTCAATTATCTCCAGGGCAGAGGGAAGGAATTACTATTGCATGCTGGGAATATTTTGTGTCTGTGGGTCCTGAACTGCCATATGTCTATCTGTTGTCACAGTCTCCCATTTGGTCCCCTAGGGGAGTGTCCACCAAGTGGGAGACCTGCATAAATACGGGCAGGTAGCCCACAGTAAAGCCAGTTCTTGTTTTACCCTCAATGCGGAGCTTGGTCTTGTTATTGGGGGGATTTATTACCGACGACTAGAGACTGCTGGATGGGATTATTAGCCGCTTGGGAGATACCTGCGTTCGGCTAATATTGGTGATTCGTGAGTTTGGAGCTCGTGGAGTGAAGTGACCGTACGGATCCCGTTTATGAGTTAGCTTAAAAATGTGATAGAGGGCATTCGTATGCAAGTGGCACGAAAGCCGCTAGCATTCATATGGTAGTTTCACGAACAGTGACTTTCAACACTGTTCGTGAAACGAACAAAGTACCGAATGGGAGCCCACACACAGGGGGTAGTGTGGCTCCCATTAACCGATTGCAACACTGTATCTATCGGCTGCTAATTGATTCCCAGGGTGGCCGTCGTTCGGATACCGACCACGAGGTGGTGGCCATCTTGGATTTCCTTTTAGCCCAGCAGTGTTTGGTCGTCGAGTGCCTAGAACTAAAATCGGCTACTCGATGGCACTAACACCGCTGGACTTCCAGGTCGTTCGGGAGCGCCGGTCTTTCGGTACTTTCTTCCAACTTATGTATTCGTGACTTTTCTGAAGAGTTGATGTTTAAATGTATTTTGTGCGGCGTTCAGTTAATTGTGCTGGGATCTGAGTGGTACTTTCACAAAGTATGCGCTCAGACCCCAGCTATCTGCCGATTGGTCATTCGGTACAATAGCACGAATAAAGTATGTTACAGATTTTTATGTGAAAAGCCGGTTCTGATATACGGATGGAAAATTCACTTAGCAAGATATTCTTGTGGGAGTATCCCTCTCGGACAGCAGTGCATGGTGGGAAAAATGTCCTGCATGTTCAGTTCCCCATGTAGTCTTCTACTCTATCTCATAAATACTGGAGCATGTGAATACAAATCTCAGTTGACTCCCAGAACTGTGTTTTGTCCGATTTCTGGGGGATTTGGGATATTGCCTTCATTTTCAGCACTTTCCTGGGATTACTTTCTTTACCAGCGGAGATATTGGGATTTAATATTGCAGCTCCGCTACAATAGTAAACAAGCGACGGGATCAAGCCTTACAGCCGAAAAGCGATGTTCGGGTAATTGAACCTGCCGAATGGGTAAGTGAATGTCAATTCGTATGCAACAAAGAACCTAACACAGAGGTGAATGGAGACAGATTTTACTGCATTGAAACGGCAGGAACCTTTTAGAAGCCTGGGGTAAGATAACCAGCAATAAGTCGAAAGCTGTGCTTATTGCCGAACTGATGGAGGGAGACAGAGCTTGCAGCGCTACACCTCCACCAGACATGGAAGAGACCCCATTCCAGAAAGAGATGAGGACCAGGCTGGAATTCTTACCCCATCCAGTACCTCTGGAAATGCTGACGGTACTGATGGCGAATGTGATAGCACACAGACTGCAGGATTCACCATCCAGAGCAGAATCTACTGCTGCTTCAATCACCAGCCAAGTAAAGCCCAAGATACCACATCATGCTTTTAAAATGTTTTGTGAAGATGAAGATGAGATTGATAGGTACCTACAGGATTTTGAAAGACTGTGTGACCTGCATGATCTGGAGCAGGCAATGTGGGTACCCTTACTGGCAGGCAAATTATCCGGTCGGGCAGCAGAAGCATACCGGGCCGTGCCCAGAGAGGACAGCAAAAATTACGCCAGAGTAAAACAAGCCATATTGGAGAGATATGCCATTACCCCGGAGGCATACCGGCGCAAGTTTAGAGGACTGCTCAAACCGGATAAAGACTCCCATGCAGAGTGGGCACACAAGCTTGATCAAGCCTCCCAGGGGTGGATACAAGCTAGCCAAGCTACCACCATAGAGGAGTTATGCCAGCTGCTATTGTTGGTGCAGTTTTTCAATGGTCTGACACCAGAGGCACAAGAATGGGTGAGAGATAGAAAATCCTCACCCTAACAGAAGCTGCACGACTGGCGGACCAGCACTATGATGCCAGGAGGCATCATGGTAACCTCAGTCGAGGGTATCCTCGACCCATCACCCAGCCACCTACAGCTACTACTACCGCACCCACAACAGCATTGTTCCGGCCGGCCGGCAGCTGGGGGGCAAACCCCACCGTCCCGATACAATGGGCGGTCTAACATTCAGTGCCATACCTGCAAGCAATGGGGCCACATGGCGAGAGAGTGTACCCAGAACCAGAGCCGTCAAGCATGGAGCCAAGTACGACCGAACCCAGCACCACGAGCAGCCGCGCACCACTACCAGGCAGAGCCAGCACCCCAGGAGCTAATGTTTAATCACACCGAAGAGCCCCTGGGAATACTGCATGACGTGATTTCTGTACAAGCCACAGACAATAGGCACCCTCATCGCCAGATGGTAACCTTGGAAGGGAAAGAAGTACAAGGGCTCCGAGATTCGGGGGCCACTCTGACTCTAGTAGCACCTCATCTGGTTCCAGGCTCGGCGCACAAAGGCGGATCCGTGGCAGTTTGAGTAGCAGGGGAAGCGATGTACCAATTGCCAACAGCCAAAGTACACTTGAATTGGGGTGTGGGGGAAGGGATGGTGAAGGTGGGCAGAATGACTTCAGCTTTTGTACCTCAAGCCCCGCTCCAAGAGGCGCACCCGGTCACCACAAGACAACAGGCTCGCACCATGGCTTCATCCACACACTCTGAGGCTCAGGTAAGAGAAAATGTACCCCCTATGATCCGTGTTCCCTGGGATACCCCGACTGAATTTGGAGCAAAGGTTAAGGGAGACCCTACTGTGGTCTTGCATTGGAGAAGCCTGGTTGCTTGCCTGCTGCCTTTGGACTATGGCCCCCTTTTAAAAGACTTTATTTTTGCCTGCAGAAAAGCTGTATTCGTGCTTTTCTGCCTGGGGTTCAGTAGATTTGTTTGAATGTGTTATACCCCAGATAGGAATCCCATGGAGCCCATTCGTATGAAACTGACTGTAAAGACTTTGGCTCCATGGCGATTAAACTGTATTTGTGTGGTCCGAGCGCCATTCACTTAATAATGTGCGCTCAGACCTGAGCTATCTGGGGATATGTGAAATGTCTGTGTGTTATGTGTAAAATGTAACTTTATGTATTTTAAAGTGTTTTACTGTCTTTGTGTCTTTTTGCAACCATGTGCTTAATGGAGTCTTGTGTCTGTCCTGGGAGATAATTCAATTACTTATCTCCAGGATAGAAGACTCTGAAACTGGTTTGGGCCAGAAAGCCATGCTTCATTTAGTCACAAAGGACTTTTTACTAACTTTTGAACCCCTTGTCTGATTTGTGCCATTTTTGAATATGTTGTTCCCCTGAATGGATTGATTGAGAATATGTAATTTTATGTGAATGTGATGTATGGTTTTGGAGTTATGAAAGTTGGGTAGAAAGTATGTTTTAACTGTTTGTATAATTGAGTTTCCTCTCAGGATAAGGGGAGGGAATATGTGGGATGTAACTGTGATATGATTGGTTGTTTTATCCCTCCCTGTGGGTGGTCCTGTATTTGAAACACTGTAATAAAAACCAGGCTGGGTGTGCCAGCACCTCAGACCACTGCTTGACCCTCAACACGGAGCCTTGTCTCGTTCTTGGGGGGATTCACTGTATGCTGTTAGAGACTGATTGCCAGGAGTGTAAGCTGTTCGTCTGCTTTTCCTGTTCGTCTGCTAGCAGCTATTTGGGAGGTTCCAGTTCGGGAGTTGGAGTGCTATTTTGTATGCAGTTTGTGAGTTTTGGTGTTCTGCAGTAGCTGTGCCTGGATCTCTGGAAAGGGGGCCGATCGCCTAAACGGTTTTTACCCCTTGTGTGCAAAACGGTCCGTTACAATTGGTGGCAGCGGTGGGATCGTTCCTACAGACTACAGGACAGCTACAGGAGACACCATTCCGTGGATTTTACAATTTGTGGGCAACGCATGTCTCAGTACAGTGACCCTGACAGCAACAGCATGGAACCAGCAGTGTCATACGAGGAGGAGGACCTGGATGGCCGGGATGCATTAAGGAAAGGCATCTGGTACCAGGCCCTGGATAATGTACAGTACCAGCGGGGTGAGAGTCTCCCCAGTGAAGAGCAGCGGTTGCAGAAGCAAGTGGCCCTGCGGATGCCCTTCCTGGGAGAGCAGCCCCTAGATGAATGGGTGAAGGAATTGGAGCACCGGGTATGGCAGGAGATTTGGCTGGAAGATGCATACCAGGCGCTTTGGTGGTATGGGGCACAGTACCTGCCCTGGACAGCCGAGCATGACAAGCCAGAGGGAGAGGAGTTTGATGGTCCTGGCTTGTTATGGGAGGCTTTTTCAGAGCCTGAATTTGGGAGCCCTACACAAGCCCGGTTCAGTGATCTCTTGGAGTGGAGGGAGAGCAGGTATGACTGGGACGACACTCACGACATTGAGCAAGACCTGGCTCACCTAGCAACCCTGGAGTGGGAACTGGAGCAGGACTACCGAGATCTCTTCCACTCCATTGAGAAGATTCAGCAGGACAGCAAGGTGACAGAGCCAGAACCAGACCCATTCAGCTGGGAAGACATTGTGGATATTTTCTGGGAAGAACCCCAGGTGGCCGGTAGAGATGGGACCGAGGTCTCTCCACCGGTCCTGCAGGGAATTGGGAGCCCAGTCTCCATTCCCCAGCGGCCGTGTGATTTATTGGGAATTGGGAGCCCAGTCTCCATTCCCCAGCGGGAGATATTGCAGGGAATTGGGAGCCTGAGCTCCATTCCCCAGCGGCAGGCTGAGTTACAGGGGACAGAGATAGTCGCTCCTGTCCCCCAGCAGCAGAATGAATTGCAGGGAATTGGGAGCCCGAGCTCCATTCCCCAGCGGGAGATATTGCAGGGAATTGGGAGCCTGAGCTCCATTCCCCAGCGGCAGGCTGAGTTACAGGGGGCAGAGGTAGTTGTTCCTGCCCCCCAGCAGCCAAGTGATATGCCGGGAAGGCAGTGGGAAGTCCAGGGAGAGGAGAGCAGTGTCCTCCCTCCCCAGCGGCAGCGTGATTTTTTGGGAATTGGGAGCCCAGTCTCCATTCCCCAGCGGCAGAATGATGCTTTGGGAATTGGGAGCCCAGTCTCCATTCCCCAGCGGCAGTATGATGCTTTGGGAATTGGGAGCCCAGTCTCCATTCCCCAGCGGCAGTATGATGCTTTGGGAATTGGGAGCCCAGTCTCCATTCCCCAGCGGCAGAGTGTCCTACCGGGAATAGAGAGCCCAGTCTCCTTTCCCCAGCAGCAGGACTCTGTATTGGGAGCAGAGACAGTCGGTCTCCCTCCCCCACAGCTGGAAGTATGTATGGGAGAGGAGCTTGTTACCCCCTCTCCCCAGCGGCAGCTTAATGTACAAAGGGGAGACAGTAAGCCCCACAACCGTGCAGATGGGACCGTAGTCTCTACACTGCCAGCACAGGGGGTAGGGACGGTCGGTCCTGCCCCCCAGCGACAGGGCTGTTTAGCCAAAGGGGAGACAGTCGGTCTCCCCCTCCAGCAGCAGAGATGGGTAACCAAAGGGGAGACGGTCGGTCTCCAGCAGCAGGACTGTGCATCTAAAGGGGAGACAGTCAGTCTCCAGCAGCAGCAGCAGAGCGGTGTATTTAAAGGGGAGACAGTCGGTCTCCCCCTCCAACAACCAGGCTTCCACCAGGCTACCCTCCCAGTAGCGCTGGCAACAGGGCAGAGTGCCGCTGGTCTCTGCCCACGCAGCAACCCACCAAGTCAGCGTACCCGTACCCAGCACAGCCGTGGTGAGGCACCTGGACCTGGACAAGCTTCCCCTTTACCCAGGTGTAGTAACCATTTATTGTGGGTGGGCTGTGCTGTGGATTATTTGTTGTGGGTGGGCTGCTGGACTAACAAGGGCACTGACCGGCAGGAGGTCAGATACCCTGTTAGTCTGTTTGGAAAAGGGGAGAGATGTGACGAGACCAATCTCGCCACATTGCATTGGAGAAGCCTGGTTGCTCGCCTGCTGCCTTTGGACTATGGCCCCCTTTTAAAAGACTTTATTTTTGCCTGCAGAAAAGCTGTATTCGTGCTTTTCTGCCTGGGGTTCAGTAGATTTGTTTGAATGTGTTATACCCCAGATAGGAATCCCATGGAGCCCATTCGTATGAAACTGACTGTAAAGACTTTGGCTCCATGGCGATTAAACTGTATTTGTGTGGTCCGAGCGCCATTCACTTAATAATGTGCGCTCAGACCTGAGCTATCTGGGGATATGTGAAATGTCTGTGTGTTATGTGTAAAATGTAACTTTATGTATTTTAAAGTGTTTTACTGTCTTTGTGTCTTTTTGCAACCATGTGCTTAATGGAGTCTTGTGTCTGTCCTGGGAGATAATTCAATTACTTATCTCCAGGATAGAAGACTCTGAAACTGGTTTGGGCCAGAAAGCCATGCTTCATTTAGTCACAAAGGACTTTTTACTAACTGTTGAACCCCTTGTCTGATTTGTGCCATTTTTGAATATGTTGTTCCCCTGAATGGATTGATTGAGAATATGTAATTTTATGTGAATGTGATGTATGGTTTTGGAGTTATGAAAGTTGGGTAGAAAGTATGTTTTAACTGTTTGTATAATTGAGTTTCCTCTCAGGATAAGGGGAGGGAATATGTGGGATGTAACTGTGATATGATTGGTTGTTTTATCCCTCCCTGTGGGTGGTCCTGTATTTGAAACACTGTAATAAAAACCAGGCTGGGTGTGCCAGCACCTCAGACCACTGCTTGACCCTCAACACGGAGCCTTGTCTCGTTCTTGGGGGGATTCACTGTATGCTGTTAGAGACTGATTGCCAGGAGTGTAAGCTGTTCGTCTGCTTTTCCTGTTCGTCTGCTAGCAGCTATTTGGGAGGTTCCAGTTCGGGAGTTGGAGTGCTATTTTGTATGCAGTTTGTGAGTTTTGGTGTTCTGCAGTAGCTGTGCCTGGATCTCTGGAAAGGGGGCCGATCGCCTAAACGGTTTTTACCCCTTGTGTGCAAAACGGTCCGTTACACCTACGTTGAAAGAGTATAGAGATAGGGTGACCTCTGATCAGGCAGGGTTAGAGGGGGAGCGGTATGCCTGGGAAAAGGGGTTATTGTATCGTATTGCTGAAAGGGTGGTGGGGGGATCTGTAAATGTTACTACTAGACAACTAGTAGTACCCCAGAAATATGGCAGGAACTCCTTAGGATTGCTCATGACATTCCGTTGTCTTGGCATCTGGGTATGACCCAAACTAGATTCCGACTGACCCATGCATTCTTCTGGCCAGGTATATCTAAAGATGTGAGGCGTGTGACATCTGTCAGAGAGTAGGCAAAAGGGGTGACCGACACAAGGCTAAATTATGCCCGCTACCCATATGTTACAAAAGACTGGAAATCACTATGTTGCTGTTTTAAATCACCGATTGATACTGTTTGCCACTGTATAAGTTTAAGCAGAAAGACACACGAATGGATTACTCGAACCCTTATAAAGGCTCCATTCGTGGTACAAACGGGGGACCCCCCAGAAACTGGCGTGTGCCGCCACTTAACCCCGTCACCCCGCAAACTACCGAACGGTCGACCACCCGGCCAGCGGAGTGTGGCAGCCATTAACCACCCAGGCGGCTGCGGTTAACCACAACTTAATTGATAGGCCTGGGGGCATCGACGTTCGCACCCAAAGTACCGAATGGAATCTACCCAACTATCAACCGAACGGCGACCCCCTACAGCGGGTCGCGTGGCGCTCATTAACTTGTGGTTGCTGCGGTTAACCGCAAGTCAAGTACCCCTCTACCAGGTGGTCCTCGTTCACGTACCGAACGAGTTCCACTACCAGACGGACAGCGGGGCTTCGCAGGAACTGATACCCAGGTTTAGTTCCACGAGTTAGAAGCGAGGTCCCGCTGCCCGCTAAACCATCAGAAAACATGGCCGCCAACAGAGACTTACAACCCAAAATGCCGAACGGACTTTATACGACAGAATCAGTTCTTTCTGTTCGTGGGATTGGAGCGCCATTCGCCTGTTTAACATATATGAACGCGAGCCTTTAGATGAATGGTAGAATGAGCGGTTTCCCTGTATTAATGTAAAAGTTATGGATTTTTATGCAGTTTTCTGGGACATAATAAAACGTGGTCTTTTGTGCGCTTGGAGATAATTAGATTGTATAACCGTTGGCCTCATTATCTCCAAGCTGGGCGGGTACTAATTCAAATAATACACTGTACTGTGATTGGATATTTGTCTGTACTGTACCTGTATTCCATCAGGTCCACAGGGGGCTGTCCTTGGACCTGAGGAATCACATAAATTGCCATGCTATGTGCCAGTAAAGCCAGTTCGGTTTTGACCCTCAACTTGCAGCCTCGACTCATGTTGTAGGGATCCGGGATATTGATGCTTACTTCGTGTTTGGGAATATTCTACACTTGCAGCTTACCACCGAAAGACCTCCGTTCGACTCTCTGCAGCGGGAACCAGGACATCCAAGCGATCAACCCTCCTGCTAGACCGGGGGCAATCGTAACACCATCATAGAAGAGCCATTTAGTAGGGTGGCCATAAATATGGTAGTCATAGATATAGTAGGACCCTCATCCTCTTTTCCCGGGTGGGGTTCCCACAGGAGATAATCTCAGATAGGGGTACGCAATTCACAGCCGAAGTAACCCACCAACTCTGGAAAATATGTGGCATTAAGCCTATTGTGACTTCTGCTTACCATCCTCAATCCAATGGGTTATGTGAAAGGTTCAATGGAACTTTAAAGCAGATGCTCCATACATTTGGAGAGGCCCATAAGGACTGGGAGCGATTCTTACCCCATCTGCTGTTCGCCTACAGAGAGGTACCTCAAGAGTCCACTGGGTTTTCCCCCTTTGAATAATTTTTGGGGAGAAGGGTGAGAGTACCCCTAGACTTAATTAGAGAGCATTGGGAAGGGGAAAGCAGTGCAGATGGGATACTCAGCACTTTACAGGTTACATTACAGTAGAGGGAGGTAGTGCAGTAGGTATACAGTGTATGTATATTTTATTTATATAGCACTAACAGGTGTACTCAGGCACTTTACAGGTTACATTACAGTAGAGGGAGGTAGTGCAGTAGGTATACAGTGTATGTATATATTATTTATATAGCGCTAACATGTGTACTCAGCACTTTACAGATTACATTACAGTAGAGGGAGGTACAGTAAGTACAGTAGGTATACAGTGTATGTATATTCTATTTATATAGCGCTAACATAGAAACATAGAATGTGACAGCAGATAAGAACCATTCGGCCCATCTAGTCTGCCCAATTTTCTAAATACTTTCTGTAACGGACCGTTTTGCACACAAGGGGTAAAAACCGTTTAGGCGATCGGCCCCCTTTCCAGAGATACAGGCACAGCTACTGCAGAACACCAAACTCCCGAACTGGATACAAAATAGCACTCCAACTCCCGAACTGGAACCTCCCAAATAGCTGCTAGCAGACGAACAGGAAAAGCAGACAATCGGCTTACACTCCTGGCAATCAGTCTCTAACAGCATACAGTGAATCCCCCCAAGAACGAGACAAGGCTCCGTGTTGAGGGTCAAGCAGTGGTCTGTTTAATGAGGGCTACCTGTCCGGCTTTTATGCAGGTCTCCCACCTGGTGGACACTCCCCTAGGGGACCAAATGGGAGACTGTGACAAGGGACAGACAAGTATACAAATAGGACACACAGTCACAGTATATTCCCACAATGTATCCTGGCTTCCTCCCCTCTGCCCTGGGAGATAATTGGGAAGTAACTCAATTATCTCCCAAGACAAAGGCAAAACTCCATTACACACGTGGGAACACAAAACCAGCATAATATTTTAAAATGCACAAAGTAACATTTACTACATAAAACACAGACATGTAACATATCCCCAGATAGCTCAGGTCTGAGTGCACATTATTAAGTGAATGGCACTCAGCCTACACGAATACAGTTCAATCGCCATGGAGCCAAAGTCTTTACAGTCAGTTTCATACGAATGGGCTCCATGGGATTCCTATCTGGGGTATAAGAAATTCACACAAAAATACCGAACACCGGGTCATTCGTGTGCTTTCACCGAACAAGGAGGGGGGTCGGCGGCTTCAGCGGTGTTCGCGCAAAACTGTGTCCGATTTTAGTTCCATGAAAATAGAGGCGAACACCGCTGTTCATTCGTATGGTTTAAAATGGCCGCGACCTCGTGTTCGGGATACGAACGGCGGCCACCCAGCGCTCATCAATTAAGCTGCGGTTAACCGCAGCTTCAGGGAGGTTAATTGCCGGCACACTCCAGCTCCCAGGTGGTCCAGTCATTCGTACGGTTGTTCGGTAGATTGAAACTACCGAACAACCGGCAGAAAAGCACGAATACAGCTTTTCTGCCTGCAAAAATAAAGTCTTTTACAAAGGGGCCATAGTCCAAAGGCAGCAGGCGAGCAACCAGGCTTCTCCAATGCAATGTGGCGAGATTGGTTTCGTCACATCTCTCCCCTTTTCCAAACAGACTAACAGGGTATCTGACCTCCTGCCGGTCAGTGCCCTTGTTAGTCCAGCAGCCCACCCACAAAACATAATCACCAGCACAGCCCACCCACAATAAATGGTTACTACACCTGGGTAAAGGAGAAGCTTGTCCATGTCCAGGTGCCTCACCACGGCTGTGCTGGGTACGGGTACGCTGACTGGGTGGTTTGCTGCGTGGGCAGAGACCAGCGGCACTCTGCCCTGTTGCCAGCGCTACTGGGAGGGTAGCCTGGTTGAAGCCTGGTTGTTGGAGGGGGAGACCGACTGTCTCCCCTTTAACTACACCGCTCTGCTGCTGGAGACCGACTGTCTCCCCTTTTGTTGCACAGCTCTGCTGCTGGAGGGGGAGACCGACTGTCTCCCCTTTGGATACTCTAAGATGTCGCTGGGGAGAGGGGGTAACAGGCTCCTCCCCCGATAGAACACTCTGCCGCTGGGCTCCCAATTCCCTGCAATATCTCCCGCTGGGGAATGGAGCATCTGGTCCCCTAGGGGAGTGTCCACCTGGTGGACACTCCCCTAGGGGACCAGATGGAAGACTGTGACAAGGGACAGACAAGTATACAAATAGGACACACAGTCACAGTATATTCCCACAATGCATCCTGGCTTCCTCCCCTCTGCCCTGGGAGATAATTGGGAAGTAATTCAATTATCTCCCAAGACAAAGGCAAAACTCCATTACACACGTGGGAACACAAAACAGCATTATACTTTAAAATGCACAAAGTAACATTTACTACATAAAACACCGACATGTAACACATCCCCAGATAGCTAAGGTCTGAGTGCACATTATTAGGTGAATGGCACTCAGACTACACGAATACAGTTCAATCGCCATGGAGCCAAAGTCTTTACAGTCAGTTTCATACGAATGGGCTCCATGGGATTCCTATCTGGGGTATAAGAAATTCACACAAAAATACCGAACGCCGGGTCATTCGTGTGCTTTCACCGAACAAGAAGGGAGGTCGGCGGCTTCAGCGGTGTTCGCGCAAAACTGTGTCCGATTTTAGTTCCATGAAAATAGAGGCCAACACCGCTGTTCATTCGTATGGTTTAAAATGGCCGCGACCTCGTGTTCGGGATACGAACGGCGGCCACCCAGCGTTCATCAATTAAGCTGCGGTTAACCGCAGCTTCAGGGAGGTTAATTACCGGCACACTCCAGCTCCCAGGTGGTCCAGTCATTCGTACGGTTGTTCGGTAGATTGAAACTACCGAACAACCGGCAGAAAAGCACGAATACAGCTTTTCTGCCTGCAAAAATAAAGTCTTTTACAAAGGGGCCATAGTCCAAAGGCAGCAGGCGAGGAGACTGAGCTCTCTATTCCCTGCCCATTAATGATCCGCCGCTGGGGAGAGGTGGTAGCAAGCTCCTCTCCCATACATACTTTCATCCTCTGTGGAGGGAGACCGACTGTCTCCGCTCCCAATACAGTGTCCTGCTGCTGGGGAAAGGAGACTGGGCTCTCTATTCCCGGTAGGACACTCTGCCGCTGGGGAATGGAGACTGGGCTCCCAATTCCCAATAAATCATTCTGCCACTGGGGAATGGAGACTGGGCTCCCAATTCCCAATAAATCATTCTGCCACTGGGGAATGGAGACTGGGCTCCCAATTCCCTGCTGTATCTCCCGCTGGGGAATGTAGACTGGGCTCCCAATTCCCAATAACTCATACTGCCGCTGGGGAATGGAGACTGGGCTCCCAATTCCCTGCAATTCATTCTGCTGCTGGGGGACAGGAGCAACTATCTCTGTCCCCTGTAACTCAGCCTGCCGCTGGGGAATGGAGACTGGGCTCCCAATTCCCTGCAATATCTCCCGCTGGGGAATGGAGCCTGGGCTCCCAATTCCCTGCAATATCTCCTCATTGGGAAATGGAGACTGGGCCCCACCCCTGCACACTCCCTGGGGAACTGAGCCTCGGGCCCCACCCTGCAATTTTCTCCCCATTGGGGAATGGAGACTGGGTCCCACCCCTGCACCACTTCTCCCCGGCTGGGGAATGGAGACTGGGCCCCACCCCCCGCAATACCCCCGCTGGGAATGGAGCCCCGGCCCCACCCCCCGTAATTCTCCCCGCTGGGAATGGAGACTGGCCCCCACCCTGCACGCTGGGGAATGGAGACTGGGCTCCCAATTCCCTGCATATCACACTGCCGCTGGGGAATGGAGACTGGGCTCCCAATTCCCTGCATATCCCACTGTGGGCTCCCAATTCCCTGCAGTACCTGTCGCTGGAGTTCTTCCCAACGTGCCAGCTGACCTTCTCTTTCTGCCCGGTGTTGCAGATTCTTGAACACTAGATTCCTTATAAGCTGCACCGATTTCTCTGGTGGATTGGGTCCGTAGTACTTCAGCCGCAATCCCATCATATTGTCAAACTCTCTCCTTGAGTAGCTGTACGCCACTGCTGGTTCCATGCTGTTGCTGTCAGGGTCGCTGTACTGGGACATGCGTTGCCCTCAAATTGTAAATCCACAGAATGGTGTCGCCTGTAGCTGTCCTGTTGTCTGTGGGAACGATCCCGCCGCTTGCCACCAATTGTAACGGACCGTTTTGCACACAAGGGGTAAAAACCGTTTAGGCGATCGGCCCCCTTTCCAGAGATACAGGCACAGCTACTGCAGAACACCAAACCCCCGAACTGGATACAAAATAGCACTCCAACTCCCGAACTGGAACCTCCCAAATAGCTGCTAGCAGACGAACAGGAAAAGCAGACAATCGGCTTACACTCCTGGCAATCAGTCTCTAACAGCATACAGTGAATCCCCCCCAAGAACGAGACAAGGCTCCGTGTTGAGGGTCAAGCAGTGGTCTGTTTAATGAGGGCTACCTGCCCAGCTTTTATGCAGGTCTCCCACCTGGTGGACACTCCCCTAGGGGACCAGATGGGAGACTGTAACAAGGGACAGACAAGTATACAAATAGGACACACAGTCACAGTATATTCCCACAATGCATCCTGGCTTCCTCCCCTCTGCCCTGGGAGATAATTGGGAAGTAATTCAATTATCTCCCAAGACAAAGGCAAACTCCATTACACACGTGGGAACACAAAACCAGCATAACACTTTAAAATGCACAAAGTAACGTTTACTACATAAAACACCGACATGTAACACATCCCCAGATAGCTCAGGTCTGAGTGCACATTATTAGGTGAATGGCACTCAGACTACACGAATACAGTTCAATCGCCATGGAGCCAAAGTCTTTACAGTCAGTTTCATACGAATGGGCTCCATGGGATTCCTATCTGGGGTATAAGAAATTCACACAAAAATACCGAACACCGGGTCATTCGTGTGCTTTCACCGAACAAGAAGGGAGGTCGGCGGCTTCAGCGGTGTTCGCGCAAAACTGTGTCCGATTTTAGTTCCATGAAAATAGAGGCGAACACCGCTGTTCATTCATATGGTTTAAAATGGCCGCGACCTCGTGTTCGGGATACGAACGGCGGCCACC